TAAAATATGAAAAAAAAAATAAAAAATTTCACTTTAAAGTAGAGACATAGAAACAGATAGTTATGAGCCTTTCGGTTGGAAGGGCGGGGCAAGGGTTGGAAGGGCCTAAGCAAACAACATCCACATACTTTCTGGTAGGGTTGATAATGCTGGATGTCATTATTGATTTTATGTCGTGTGTAAGTTGTATAAATAAAAATTTACTTAGTCATTCTGCACTGATATAATCGGGTTTGTCTCGAGCCCATTATATTTAAGTTTTTATATTTCATGTTGCGTATAATTGTTTCCGTATTAATCCATTTATACAATGAGTCTTGAACTGCTCAGTTCGATTATAATCCAAACTCAGTAAACCAAAATTCATACTAAACTGTAAGTTGTATCGAATTAATGAATCATGCTAAAATTATGCTTATAAAAATAACATTTTAACTTTTTTGGTCCCATCTCACATCCTATTTAACCATGGGATATTTCGTGGTAAGACATGTGAAACATGGTAGATTGTGATAGGTCGGAGGAGAAGATTACGATACCGAACAGAAAATTTGGTACCTTTAACTCTTAAGTTTTATAATTTGTGTGTTTGAATACAAAATTTTTGGGTTTGTTTACAATTTTAATAATTGAATTATAATTTTTTTGGTCAAATTACTAGTTTTGTGGAAATTCCGATTGATCCTAATATTTTTAAGATTGACCATAAGTTACCATAAAATTATAAATAACCCTAAAAAATTATAAAAATTGTAATGACGGTGCATTTTTTTTTTTTCGGTAACATTGACTTGTCCTATGTTGGGACATCCGGAAGGAGGAGAAATTGGCACAAAAACAGAACCAAAAGAAGATCTAGTTTATACCAGCTATTGTAGAAGACCATCGATCTCTTTCCAAGTTAAAAAGTCAAGACACACCAACGAGCTGTTGGCCCAATGGATAAGACTTTGAATTTTTTCGTTCAAAGTTTGAAGTTGAATCTTAATAGTTACAGTAGTTTATTGGGGCTAAACATAATCTTTAGTACTCAGAACATGCGATTGGACATTAACTTCTGTCCAACATAGGTGCAATCTACAGATAGTTGTGTGATACTAACAGACAATACTCCCTAATAAATATGTAAAATAGTTTATCTACATATCCATTTAATGTAAAAAAAAAAAAAAAAAAAAAC